AAACTTGATCTCATTCCAAATCGACCCCAATTTTTTCCTCCTAGCTATCTCAAGTCCTCACAAGAACTCAAATAAACTCTGTGTTCGTGCATACTTTTTTCCGAGTCTCCGTTTCCGAGCCCTACATAGCATGATCCCGAGAACACTCGTTGGAACCCGAACCATCCCCAACCTCCTCTGAAACCGAGCAAACCCTCCCGCCGGTGATCCTCTCGAGATACGAGACGATCACGGCCTCCCGGCCCCTGGCGAGGGCCCTCTCCCTCGCCCCGGCCTCCGACTCCAGGACGAGGCGCGCCGCCTCCCGCCTCCGCCACTCCTCCTCCCTGGCCGCCCGCTCCTCCTCCAGCCTCCCGAGCACCTCCGCCAGCTTCTGGTGCATACTCTCCTGGTGCTCCACCACACGCCTAACCAAATCCCCGAAAAACTCCGCCATCCCGATAACCCCACCACCACCACCGCCGTCGTTCTTCTTCATCTTCTCCTTCTTCCTTCGCTTCCTTTTCTCTTCGGGCGGCTGGCCAGCCGCGCTCCCGTCTTCGCAGGTGCCTGTTTGCCCGACCGGTTTGTATATGGCTTCGAGCTCGCCAAAGTCGGTCAAGCCGTGTTCGGGTTTGTGGGCCATATTCTCCGCGTTTTCATTGGATTCCAGGTGTTCCCTACGGAGATAACATTTATTGTGTGATTTAATCCAATGCCACGAGGTGGGAGCATCTACAGTACACACATATTAAATTGGACAAGGAAGAATAGAGCCTAGGTGCATTAATGCCCACCTTCACATATGTACTTGTTCTACGCAGGAATTAGTTAATACCATTAATAATAATACTTCAAAAAAAAAAAGTTGTTGTTTAATTTTGTTTTTTTTTTAATGAAAAAATATTAATTTAATTACTATGACAAAAGGTGCATTAGTACAACGTTACTGACTCTCACAGTTTGATATATATTCAACCACTTTTTCAGTGCTATGGACATAAATAAGGGAAATGATATATTCCCCGTTACGGAGCTATTTCATCGGAATTTGTAATCATTAGATCATCATGCAACCATTACAAATCCTAACGGAATAGTTTCGTAACTGGACCGTACAATCTCTCGATAAATAAACGATTTATGATGAGGAGCACATGATTAGAGAAAAATTAATACCAGAAGGAAATGGGTTGTTGTTTAATAGTAGTCGAATCTTGTTGATTTGCCCAGCAATGGAGAATCGGAGAAGATTGTGGGGCCTCCTCCTCGGGGACCTCAAAGCGCTCACTCTCATGGAGCATGCTACAGTCACCACCGCCCTCTTCAATATTAACAATGCTGCTCTCTTTTTCACTATTGTATTCGTTAATATTGTTTGTCGAGCAAACCTCGTTGAGCCCGAGCTTGAAGTTCACGGCCGGGAAATAGGGCGAGGAGGACGAATCTCGGCCGAGGTAGTGGTGGGTCTGCGGCGGGAGGAAGTGGGGCGGGTCGAGGAAGAGGCGGTGGTGGGCCCCGGCGTGGAATTGGTTGGGAAAATGGGTCGGGTGATGAGTGGATAGCAAAACCGGGTTGTCGTTGTCGGTGGCCGACTGGGGATGCTGCTGGATCCCGGGTATTTCGTAACCCGAATGCATTTTGATTCTTGAAGAAGAAGAAGAAGAAGATTGTCAATTATGTGTGTATTTTTTCTTTTTTTTAATGAAAATTTGAAATGAAGAAGAGTAAGAGGATAGATGGTTGATGGTGTGAGGTGATAAGGGTAGAGAGAGAAAGGGGAGCTGTGAAAAACCCTCCTTAAATGGCTGTTAGGAACTGTGTGAGTACTAAGTAGAAGATAATAAAGAGTTGGGGGAAATGGAGAGGGTTGGTGGGTTTTTATTTGACCCGGTTTGGCAGAATATGGTACTTTTGTTTTGTATTTTTTTCAATTTTTTATTTCTTGTTTTTGGAAAAAAACTTTTTGGTCTTTGGATTCCTTTATTTTATATACTTGTGTAATTTGGCTGTTTTGCAATTATATTTGAGATCTAAAATATCTAAGGTATTTATATTTGATGTTGTATTACCTTCGTCATATTTACATGCATTATGAATTATAGATTATGATGTTTGGTCGTATTTATTGTCGAATTATGTGTCATGTAGTTTGATTTATTATTCTATGATTGAGATATTTTTTGTCGTTGGTTTTTTCAGGAAATATATCAAAAAAGTCATAAAAAATAGTCATGATGAAAAACGGTGAAAATGAGACGCCACACGACTCGTGTGAGGTGGTACATAAGCCACACGAGTCGTGTGGATAGGTGAAATATGAATTTAGCTACGACTTGGCCACACGACCCGTGTGTCTATGTGACACAAGTCGTGTGGATCCACACGAGTCGTGCGAGCGATCGTGATCACTCTTGTGTCTGGGAGTTGGTGGAAAATTAGAGAAAAAGTTACACGAGTTTTGTGTCTAGTCACACGAGTTGTCTGACGAGGATTCCAACTCCACAAAGTTTATGATTTTGATGCGATTTCTTCTTTATTTCAACCATTAATATACAACCTACACTATAAAAAGGGACTTGGAGAACTCGGTTTGAGAACTTTTGACATGTTTGGAGGCCGAGAGAGAGTACAAGACGCACGAGGGATTTGAATAAGTCAAGATTGAAGATTCGAGAACTAACGACGACAATAATTCTTCTTTCTTTTCTCTTTTTCTTCTTTATAGTACTCATGTATTTATTTACGAATTGAGAATATGTTGAGTAGCTAAATATTTATTTAGAATCTAGAATTTGTGAGTACTAGGATTATTTTATAAAGTAATTTTATATATCCATTCTGATCTATCATTCGGTATCAATTTTTTGATATTAATTTTGTGAATATAGGACATGTATATTTATGCATGTTTGTGATTAACTTGAGACTGAGATGAGATAGTTGATTTCTAGAATTGGAAAATTCATAACGAATGAGACTACACATACCGAGATTTTGATAGAATATTGTGAGAGAACTAGAAAATTAGGAGTCAGGGAGTACGTTGTTCATCTTGAAACCAATAGGAGATCGATAGCAATTGATCGACGATTTAGCTTGCTCGGGAGTGAGGTTAGATTATTTTAGTGATTATCCCTACTATTGGTAGAATTAAATAAAGTTTGAATCAATAAGAAATCTTTGATAGAATAATCTCGAGGAAAACTTAGCCTCAAATCTATTTCTCATTCTTGATTTATTTAGAACAAGCTTTCACTGGTGTTAGAATTTATTTTGCAATTATTTATTAGTTTAGAAGCAAATCTCAATACAAATTTGCATTAGTCTAATAATAATAATAATTAATTTGTCCCAATCTCTTAACTTCTTAAAAATTATATTATTCATTACATTTTATGTCACTTGTATATTAATTCATTCATAATTAAAATAGCGTAATTGTATTTTTTTATATCCACTAATGACCAAGTTTTGTAAAAATTAATATGTTATCATATATTTTATGATTATAAATATAATATTCATACACATAACTTGTTTTTTATTTGTAACTACTAGTTTTTTCAAAAGATAATACCAGTGACAGGTCGAACAATTAAATTTGTCTAGTGGAATGCGTTCAAAGAAGATGACCCATTGTTGCAATGTTTTTGGAAAGGTAACTTCGGTATCAATAAAGACTTAATTTATTTTGTAAAGATTGTTTTACCAACCAACTTACCCAATATATGTGTTGGCAACCTAAGAACGCTTACATGAGATGGCTTGAGTCTCTTCCAACTTAACCAGTGGTCTCGTGTTTGAGCCCTGAGAATGCAGCAGTGTTAAAACTCTTGAGGGAGAGCTTTGCCGCCCTTGTGGTTTTACCCAGCTCGATTCTGGATTAGTCGGTTCCCATGTGGATCCAGAAACTAGAAGGTCCCTGTACCAAAAAAATATATATGTTGGCAAAATCTAAATGGTTGATTTTAGTAATTAATGTTATAATAATAAAGTAATTGATGTTTCTTGAGTCTGTCTTCAATTTTCATTTTCCGGAGCTCTTAAAAAAATTGAAATTATTTGCTCTCGTTTTTTTGTACAAATAATAAAACATAAATTTATATATGACCAATATTTTTTAAAGTTTTGCTTTAGCGGTACCTTTTAACATGGACAAGGTAACGAGAAATGTTATGGTCCAATTACGAATTATTTTGTCGGAGTTTGTAATCGTTGGATCATCATATAATCGTATGAAATAATTGATCTAACGGTACAAACTCCGATGAAATGGTTACATAACGGGACCGTAGCATCTCCCCAATGACTTATCAATTTATGTCACCAAATATTTTTATTTTTATTGTATCAATTATTTTTTCAGTCATTGGCTGTAAACTCAAAATTAATTCATAATCTATCAGTTTGCTAATTACAACTTCAAGCAAAATAAAATTAGCTAAAATGGGGTCGTTAGATCTAATGGAGATATGTAGAAAGAAAAATACTACAATTACATAATAAATGTACATAGAGGTGTACATAACACTCACATGGAGTGGGGTCCACTTAATTTTTTATTTTTGGTGGGTCCCACTCAATGTGAGTGTTATGTACACTCGTTTGTACAACATTATTATTTATAGCATTACTCATGTAGAAAATTGAGGACTCAAACTCCTAATACTCGAGCTTAGGTTTGAGTCTTTATCGTGACTGAGCTTGATTCGCTAACTAAAAAAAGCAAATAAATTAACCCAAATTTGATTTATTTATTAATATTAACTAGTCGACTCGAACTCTAAACAGTCGAATTCAAGTTATGACAAGTCAAATTTATACATAAAATTCTGTTTTTAAATTTAACGAACCGAATTATATATATAGATTTACATAAAAATGTCTATTGTTAAGCTTTACGAGCCTTAATAAGTCAAGTTCGACTTGATTCTTCGAGCTCACCGGATGTTAATTTATTTCTTATTTTGACACTACAAATTCAATTTTCAAAATAAAATAGAAATTTCGAAAATTTGGAAAATATTTTTATTGAGGAATTAATTTGGGACAGACGACAAACGACACGTGCGGCTGGGCGTGTAGCAGAGCAGGTAAGTGCAGAGCCAGAGACATTCTGAAACGTAACAGTTTTCTTTTATATTTTATTTATTTAAATTTCGAGGGAAAAAAATGAAAATAAAATCTTAAAAAATTCGAATTGATGGTGGCGCACGTGAATGTGTCACTCTGTTTACTGTCTTGTTCACTGCATTAATTTCTGTGAAGCGCGAGGGCCCCCCCTCTTATCAGACGGCCACCATCACTCCTCGAACTTCACCTTTCAGCCCTTCAGATCCTTACACGTGTCCGTCATTATTACATTATTTAAATGCTTCTGTTCTGCGTGGCGCTGCTATGTATTCTGTCCATTTCCGAGAGAAAGGGCCTTTCTCTGGATATATGCGAAAAGTTCCATTAGTATGAGCATTGAGTGAAACAACTAATAATTTTGCCTAATGTTTGGAAAAATATAAAACCTATCTATATATAAAATATAATATGCATAAGAGTTAAAGATTCAATGTGAATAATATATAGTGAAACAAATAAGAATAAATTTATACTATTGAATCTAATATTAATGATCATGTTCAAGTCAATTTTTATAAATGACAATCAAACATGTTGTGGCAATTTCGTACATATGTGTATAATTCATGGTCAAATGTATATATTTGACCATTAAGGAAAGACAAACAGGTAATTACTATTCACATACTCAACCACATACTACACGTGGGACCCACCACCATCACTAACCCTCATGCTCTCTCTCTCTCTCTCTCTCTCTCTCTCTCACACACACACACTATTCACGACCAGGTGAGTGCCCATCGGTGTTGTAGCTCGCCGTCGCCCACTGCCACCCGCCACCTCCCTCGCACCATATCACTGTTTTCTCTCGCACCGATGACCCCTCTCCGCAACCCAATTCGGCTTCCTCTTTACTTGCTCTCTCTAGCGTCGGCCGCGTAATCCTCCAGACGTCCAGCTTCAATGACATCGCTACGAACGTCAAGATCGAGACGCGCATCTCGTTCACCGTCACCCGCTATCCCTAACTTCGATCGACGCCGGCATGTAAAACCAGATCGACGATGGAAGAAATCCGGCGGCGATCGTCGTCAAACTTTTAGCCCACTGATTGGTTCGAGGCTGCCGCCGAATTAGACATCCAGTCATACATCTTTTTCTCGTCCATCAGTGCTTTCACTGTTATTCAAGCACGTACCGACGGTCAGGTCGAAATTTAGGGTTGCATCTCGTTCAGGTTGCCATCATCGGGCTCGACGCGGTGGTCATCAACACGTATCGACGTCGGTACGTGAGCAGCTACGGGTTTTGAGGGGTTTAGAAACTGATGGGCTTGATTTTGTAAATTAGATAAGTCCTAGGGGCTTATCTACAAATTAAGAAAATTTAACTATATTCCAATGCAGTTCACGTGTCAAAATTGGAATTTATTATAAATTTAAAATTGAATAACGTTAGTAAGTAAACTGCACAATATTGTGTATATATACGAACATAAAAAAATATTGTCATATTTATATGAACTAATTAAAAAGAATAATGAATACGCAATATTGATAAG